ATGAGTTTTAGTTAAAGCACCCACACCGCCATTTTTCAGCACCAGAACAATGATACACATGATGCTCCAGGCGCTTTAATTAGAGCAGCTCCGTCTAATTAAAGCACCTCCCTCACTCCCGGACCACATGTATAAAACATTTCTATAGACTAGCCTCCTTTGTAAATTAGAAGTTTCAAGGTTGCTCCGACTTACGCTTAGCCACAACACTTTCCACAAAAACAAGCCAAAATGGGCTACATTTCAGCCACAGATTCTCTTCTCACCAAGCCTCTTGATCAAATAGCTTGAGAGAGCTACTCCAGCTGCTCTATTTCTACATGCCCCATAATCATAAAGGGGACAGATAACACAAAATATGGGCCCTTGTGCTTTTTCCTCAGTTAAGAGTCTCAACTGAATAAATGTCTCTTTGGAATAAAGCACTTTATAAATGGGGACAACTGACCAAAACTGAACACGTAACAATACTTAACAGAGCATGAAGTGTAACATGACAAGGAAGGTTTATGCTCCAGTTTTAAACATTATCTGCAGTATCAAAAGTAGGTCAACTGGTCTGTGATAGCAGAACTTATTTGAAAAATAGTCTCTGTAACGAAAGGCATCTGAACATTTTGACATCTCCAAAGCAATTTTTATGAAAGCTCCTCTTTCCTACTATCAACATAGCTCTAATTTACAATGTGTGGCCAAAGTGCTATCACTGAAGGCTATAGCTTTCTAGTCAAACAACCGCTGATGGAATACATGTGATAAATCCCTAGCCTTTCCCAGAAATCGGTTCATTAACACCTGCCCCCTTCTCCTCAAGTGTACACCTATAGGTAATAAGAAGCCTGAAACATAGCTGTCTTAAGAACTGTTTTTCTTTTGCTCACTTCCCATAGTCAGAGTTACCAACAAAACCATCACTCATCCCAACACACTCTCTTTAGTTTATCCTCATCTGTTTTGTTCTGAAATGCGAAAGAAGTACAGTGATTTCAGGTACAAGGAGTGAGAGAAATAATCTAGAGTAACAATGCTTCCCTAAATTATTTTAATTTACATTTCCTAGAATCAGCCAACTTTAGAATCTTGCTTTGTTATGTGTGACTTTAAAAGGAAAATTTAGCCAGAGCTTTCTGAAAGGAAATTCAATTTGTTATTCTGTCTATGAAGTGTCCTGTTTACTGTAAACAAAAGGAATGATCAGACTGGCATCAAAAGCTACAGATCTGCTTCTCTAGTCAAGGTCAGTTTTGTTCTTTTGCCTTTTATAAATGTATTCCTTTTTTGATGGGCATATTGCCTGTTTATTATAATTTCATTTTCACTGATTACTGTTGTGTTGTCTGAACGAACAGCAAAAACATATTAGTATTGCCATCTAAGTGTAAGTACCCCTTCAATCCCTCCCCTCCAAACAGATGTTTAAAAAAGACCCAAAACAAAAACTATTTACTGCATATTCTACAGAGTAGCTCATGGAAAATATTGATAAACATTTTATTTAGAGACATTCTTGCTTAGTTATCATTCATTTCTTGTCTATCCCATCTGTTTTTAATTACTAGGGATATTTGCATGAAAATGAGATCAGTATTTTTTAAAAGTCATCCTGTTTGTGTTATTTCCAGTTAGTGACAATCTCAAAAACTTCAACCTCACATTTCTTGGGCCCTTAGAATGTCAAGTTAATAGGCTTTTAAAGTGGAGAAGCTTCAAAGAGTCTAGAGGACAGTCACGCGCATGATCAGAGGGCAAGAGAACAGGCCTTATGAAGAGAGGCTGTGAGCTATGGGACTCTTCAGCCTGGAGAAGCGCAGGCTCAGGGTTGATCTGGTGGCAGCCTGTAAGTACATAAAGGGTGTGCATCAGGATCTGGGGGAACGCCTGTTCACCAGAGTGCCCCCGGGATGACAAGGTCCAACAGTCACAAACTTCTTCAAGACCATTTTAGGCTAAACACAAGGAAAAACTTCTTTACTGTCCGAGCCCCCAAGGCCTGGAATAGACTCCCTCCAGAACTGGTGCAAGCACCTACTCTGGACTCATTTAAGAAGCGTTTGGACGCTTACCTTGCTGGGATCCTGTGACCCCAGCTGACTTCCTACCCCTTGGGGCAGGGGGCCGGACTCTATAATCTCCCAAGGTCCCTTCCAGCCCTAATGTCTATAAAATCTATTAAAAATGAAAGTGTATAAGGAACAAAATACCAGGGATAATATTTAAAAAGCAATGTACAAATATAGTGCTATATAAATTACTAGCAGCAATAATAATGTCAGAAAAAAGAATATAAAATTAGTGGCAAGACAAACTCTTAGGAACAGATTCTACTTTCAGACCAACATTTTAAGCATCAAAAAAGAGGGAATAGGGATTAAAGAAAATGGATTTGATCCCATTTTTCTTGCTCACCCCAAACTACTATTGTTGCCAGCTGGTGATATACATGTAGAATGTTTCTAAACAGAATCTTTCCAAAGTTTGATATGAAGTAGTTTTACAAGTCTGTCAGCTGTGTCTGTTGACTGGCAAGTCAGGCAAGTGCTATATAGGGGGCAGGGAGGCAAAGCAGCTCCTTTACCACAAAGGCTATTAACTCACTCTGTGGTAGAGGGACAACTCAGGCAACCGAGTTGGGCAGATGGAACTGACACAACCCCAACTTGAGCAAGCCGCAGACTCTCCATGGCCACTGTTCTAGCCAAAGAACCGTAATAACGGTTTACAAATTGCTGAGAAATCCCTTGGTTCCCAGCCACTGCATCTATCAAAATGTGGGTCCAATGACCTCAATAAAGACCTATTCAGAGCTGCCTGAACAATATGTAGGGAACATAGAGGGCTGCCTTTGTGGCTGCTCCAACAGTGTCCCATTGCACAAACCTAACACAGGGCCAAACTGTCATAAATTGCAGCTTAACTAAAGTGGGCTATATTTTTTGTGGTACCAGTTACTCGGGGGGGGGGGGGG